CTCCTGGCAGGGAACCAGCTCCATACGTCCAGCGAGAACAGCTCCATTACTCCGAAGGGGTTTCGGATACTTGAGCCCCACTGAAATCAGCGGCGAGGATGGAAAAACAAAGCAGACCAATGTTGCATCCCAAAGAACTTTTATGACAGCCAAGGCTTGCCCTGAGCTCTGTTCAAACACCCACCCAGCGGCAAGGACAACAGGCACTTAGGGCTCCAAGTGCCCCCCAGACCGGCTCATTCCTGGAGGCACCGATTTGCCCCCAGCAACATCAGAGAGCTCCGTCCTCCCCCAGTTTGCACAGAGCAAACAGAGAGCAGGGAACAGCGTCCTGAAGGAACAGGAAGGGGACAGAACTCCGGGATAACAAAGGAACCCACACACCGTTTAGAACATGGCTGCCTCTCCCCCAGAAAGGGGACAGAGCGCCAGGGGCAGCACTCCAAGAGTCAAAATTCCAGCCTCGGAGGACTGACTTTGAGTTTTCTGGCTTATGCAGCACAGTACCATCCACCTGAAAACAAGGAATTTCAGGTTTTTGGAAGACGGGATGTGCGAAGGCAGCAGGGAGGCACAGGCCAGGTGTCAGACACCAGGAACACAGACAGGTAAAGGCAAAGTGTTTTGCTCCAAGGGATTATTCAAATCTTGGCATGTTTAGGTTTATTGCGGGAACACAAGAGTGACAACATTTGCAGTGCTCAGAAAAACAAAATTCTTCCAGACCTCTCCTTTACAAACATGATTTTGAACACAGCAGCAGCAGCAACAAAACACTTTTAGATGAGCTCAGAGAACAGGTTGTTTTTATAAAACAAAGAAGGAAAAGGCATGTGTTTTCCAAGTGGTAACACTGTAATTAAGTGTACAAACAAAACCCAGCGAGGACAACTTAAGAGTTGACTAAACACAAAAAAAAACATATTAAAAAGTTAAGTTCTACAGATCTTTTCGTCAGGCATTATGAATGACTTCAGTAAGTCTGAAATAAATTGTTCAATACCAGCAACAGGAAACTTTTCTTCTGGATACCCTGTGTAAGAGAAGGCAGTGTGTTCCTTCTCTGCGCCCAGTCAGAAGGGTAAGCTACTGGTCACTGAAGCGGGTGTTTCTTTCTAAGCCTCTGTTAATTCCGTGGCATTGGCATGGTTGGCCAGGACATCTTCCAGATAAACAGCCACTCGGACCCTAGCTTTGCCCCCCAGCTGTTTCTCCATCCCACTGAGATGTTCGATAGCTCCTTTTAATACTCTCTCCCTCTCGCCCGAGTCCGTGTGCATTCCTTCTTCAGCTCCACATTTCAGATATTGCAAGACATAGGATTTGATTGCATCCCCGTTTGCCGTTATGGTGTCCCTGATGACTGGCAGGTCTGTGCTCTTTGCCAGACTTAACAAATGAAGCAGAGCCTGGCAGATCTGCGTCCTGAGGCTGGCACTGTACTTGAATTCCAGGAAGTCCTCAGTGTCTTCACTCTTCTGCAAGGCTACCACCAAGGCACTCCAGATTTGGCAGAACTGCTCAGTGGAGCCATAGCATTCCCTCTTGCTAGGGATGGAGAGGGCCATGGCTGATTTGATCCGGACTTTAAAATTCTTGCAGGACTTCACTACTGAGGAAAGTGCACTGTATGCTTGCGCGGTCCAAGCAGCCTCTCCTAAAAAAAAAAAAACAACAAAACCCACAATCAAAATACACAACACTGTAAATACAGTACATGTAAGCCCATTAAATATTTAGGAGATTCATTTAGACCAGAATAAATGTGAGTCAGAGGTTACGAAATGAAAAATTAGTTAAAAAAACTGTTAATCTTCTGAAGTTTCATAAGAGGAAAAATGACATTTTGCATCTATTTACAGTCACAATCCCACCCTCATGCTCTTTTCTAACATGACAGATCCAACTGAATCCAGCACAATTACGCCCGTATCGGCATTCGCAGGATCTGACCCGTTTCACTGGCAGGAGTTCGAGGAAAGCGACGACAGCAAGATTCAGCCCAGTTTGCTTTCTCCCCTTTTCCCCAACGCATTTGTAACAGAGACCTCCTTATCAAAACCACAAGCTGCTGTGCAAATCCAAAGCCAGTGGGACGAGTTACTCACCGAGTGGCAAGGCAGGGTTCTTAAACACATTCCCCAGCGCGTAACAAGCATTCCAGCGCACTTTCATCGTGGCCTCGCTCTCCACAGTGGAAACAAGGGCCTGAAGAGATTCCTCGATGGCTTCCCTGAACCTGGGGTTTGCTATGTGATACGGCTGAAGGAAATGAAGCACGTTTCCAAGGGCCCGGACTGCATTGCTCTTTACCTGGAACACACATGCACAAAACAACCTCAAAACCCCACTGTTCTGGCTTCCAGCTCATAGGCAGAGCGTGCAGACTTGGACTTTTATCAAGCCCGCTGTGAAACCACGCTCAGAGCTAACAAGGAGCCCATCTGGAATCACAACTGGTGTCTCAGGTGGTAACTTCCTAAATGCCACCAGAAAGATCGTTCTCTGCAAGTGGTCGCCCCGGAAAAAAAACCCGAAACAATAAACCTCCACAATAAAAAACCCACTCTGCACTGTGGAAAAGTACAATCGAACACCCTGCAGGTCGAACAACACAGGAAACCTCCAAACACCAGCCCTCGAGAGAAGATGCTGAGCTGCAGCTCCCTGTTTGTTGGGGCAAAACGCCCCAAAGAAACTGGTGCCTTTCTTCCTTCTTTTTTTTTTTTTTCTTTTTTTTTTCTTTTCTTTTTTTTGGAAATAAAAATGCAAGCGTTAACTACATTAGGATAACTCCACCCTCCTTCCCCTCAGTCATACCTTGTCTCTGTCCTTGGATGCTTCAGTCGCAGACCGTAACATTTTCAATAGCAGCAGATCAGAAAATTCCTCTTGAAAACTTTGTCCCATCGTTTCCCTAAGCAGAAGGATCACACTGGGAAAGGCCAGCTCGGACAACCCATCCCCAAGGATGTGATACAATCCTTTGTGAAGGCGCATGAACAACCTTCACTCGTTAGAAGGCTAATATGTAAGGCAGACCTCACTACATGTGACCACTATGTTTATTAATTTAAAACCAAACTATCAATGCAAGAAAGCCGGTTAGCAATGCATTAAGTCTGTAATAAAAAACAGAGGGCAATGAATTGCCCAGAGGCAATTCTTTAGCAGGAATATATGATCATTATTTCTCCTGTTAAAAATGTAACAGTAGGTCAGACTTCCTTCAGTCTTTGGCTTGAGGAAGTGTTAAATATTTATTAATTTTACTTCTGTGTTACGTTGGAAGTAAAGGAACCGGGGAACACGCAATTACACAAAGTAACGTACGAGAAATAGAAAACTGAAAAGCAAACTTGGAATATACTCTAGAACTAAGGATCAGAAAGACCCAAACCCAAGCAGTTTAGTAGAACTCAACCCCCAATGGATACAGGATACTCCTACTACAGTGTCACACACTGGCAGACACACAGCCCAAAACAAATTTGGGCTTTTTTGATACTAAGTAGATCAATTCCCTTTGTGTGATGCCATGGGAATACGGGCAGAGAGAGGAGCTCCGGGGCCGCTTACGTACATGTTGATGATCAGAGTGTCTGTCAGATTGCCCAGGGACCAGGCTGCTTTGGCACGGACGTTGGGAGACTTGTCATGGAGGGAATTCAGAATAGCGTTCGCCGTGTCTGCCACAAACATCACATCCTATAAAAGTAAAAACTGCTGCAGAGTTAGAAAGTTTAAACACATAGGTGAATTCCTTAGTAGCATACACATTCCAGACTTTCTAGGGAAAATGACACCTGCTCAGAGACCAGCTCTATTAATAAACTCTTCTTTTTTGAGGCGACAACTTTTAACGTGTTTATGGTGCTCTCTGTACAGCTTTGATCTTTAATTAACGGTCTAAGCCTGCGTGCTGACCAAGTTCACTGCTCTCTCGGGTGGCTGTTGCTGAAAGCTCTCAGTGTATTATTTAATTTCATCGGTGCTTTAGTTACTTTGGATTTTAACATCATTACCTGGACTGCCAATCTTATACCACTCTTAAGAAATTAATTGCTTCTCCAAACTCCCTGTTGAGCTGCCCGTGTAATCTTCTCTTCTACGGCACGTTTTCCTTCCCTTGCCTATGGTAAAGGATTTTCTTTCAAAATATTCTGGACTCGAATCTCAGCGTCAGCTACCGCATAGATTTTTTTTTATTGCAATCATCCATTTAAGGCCACATTGCGAAAACTACAGTCTTCCAGCTCGGCCAAGCTAAGATCATTTTTTTTTTGGTGGAAACAAACCAGCGTTTTTCTCTAAATAAGCTTTACTTAGTTTTAAGCAAAACTGAAGCCTTCCCATAACAACTCGCTAAACTCCACTGAGCGCTGTACAGCTGTTTCCTTCTTCCCACCTCTACCTCATCTCTTGCAGCATCTTTGTGTCAACGTGGCCTTTCCCACTTCTGTCCCTGCGAGCTTGGGGAAAGCCCTGACCTCCCTCCTTTCGCTCTCACTTATGAGGCACTCTGGCTTCTGCTTCATCTCACTCAAAACTGCACTCGTCCCCTTCACCACACAGAAGGCAAGAGCAGGTCTGGAGACAGTAAAGAACAGCTGTTACACACTACAGACCACAACCAAGACGAAAGGCCAACTCATTCCAAAAGAACTCGCGTCCCACATCTCATGGTTCATCAAACCATTCGAAAACAGCTCAAAATAAGAAAAACGGGCCAGTTCTGACCTGCCGAAGGCAAGAGAAGAGGATGTAGACTCCAAGCGCGCGCGCGGCAGCGGCTTTCACCAGGGGGTTCTCGCTGTGGTTCAGGCCGAGCAGCAGTGTGACACACAGTACCTGCTGGTCACTCTGAAACGATGAGCAGTCATGGCAACAGAGAGAAACTGAAAAGATCTCTGTCCCACAAAGACAGACAACTGACAAATACCCTGAAAGACCCTAATATGTGGAATTTATAGAAGCTACCAGCCAGAGCGTGCTCTTTTCTTTAAAGAAAATGGACTGGCGTTTCAGGACACCACACAGGAAATGGGAATGCTTCCAGCAAACATGATCTTGTTGCTGTTAGATAAGACCACGAAGGAAACCAAAATATTAACTATCATCCAAAGGCAGAAGGCATGGCCCAGCAGAGTTAAAACAGGCTGGGTCAGTTCTCTTACTTCCCTCTTTCCCCTTCATTAACAAGGACAGCCAGGCAGACTAAGTTCATCCCGGACAGATTGTCAGTTTACCAAACCATGACAAAGATCTTTGTTTCATCAGAGCAAAGGGTCAGAGTGGGCACTGACTTGAACCCACATGGCCACAGGGACAAGAGTATATGGGATCAAAGTACGGGGTGATGAAGCACATGCTGTACTTGGAGAAACCAGACGGAGAATTCCAGAGATACTGCTGTACCAGCAATTCTTGGGCAAATGAGATCTGGCAGAGCGCTCCCCATCAAGAAGGGCACAGTGACATGAAAGGAGCTGTACAATGCAGCGGTGATACACTGCCAAGGCTTTCATGTCTAAAAGCATATTTCATGCTGCAAAAGGAGAGTAAGGCCAACACATTTCTTCACTTCTGCCAGGGTAATCACCGCAGGTTGGTGTTTTAAAGCCAGCCAAAAGAAAAAACATGCATGCAAACGGGCGAACAGCGTCTGTCCGTGGCTGTTAGCTCAGCTGTCTCTTCAAAGACTTAACCAGCAAAATAACAACCCTTCACTTCTCCCTCATGCAACGAAATTCTTGCCCTCCATCCCCCATGCATCATCACCAAGGCTCAGTATTCAGGGCAAGGCCAAACAGCTTCTGTGACCCACAGTTTGACTGTTTTGACAGAGTAATTACTCCCAACATTGCCTTTTCCAGTCTTCAATAGCTACAACTTGTTCGGAATGTAAAAAAAAAAAAATAAATTCTGGAAGGCTTCTCTACCATCATAAGTTTCAAAAGGCTTTACAGTACTGTAACCTGGTAGCCAAGAACGAAGCCTCGAGGTAAGAATGCCATGCAGGAAGGAGTGCTCTCACCTGCAGGCTGCTGAAAGCTTCTGGCAAGATGGAGGACAGGGCATCACAGGCGCTGGTCTGAAGAGTCGCGTGCGGCGAGTTCTGAAGAGTGCCAGGTAAGGGGCCATTCAACATCATCGTCCAGAAAGTTACAACCTACAGAAGAAGCAGCCAGGTTTACCCACTTAAACTCAGCAGTCATGCCTAAATTCTACACCAGATTGTCTTTTCCTGTGATCATCTGTAAGACATACTTACAGCAGGCAGCATAATCAGACATGCAAGTGATTACAACTGTTTGGAAGCCTAAAATACTCAGCATTCAGAAACATTTTAAAGACATTTTAGTACTGCTATCAAGTACTTACTCACTGAGTTCTGTTTGTTTCCTTCCCAAGGCCACACACACTCGGATTAGGTTGCATTAGGCAGAATTACGATCCCGTTCTCGAATTCACACAGTGGGTATTTTCATTTACCTGACAATTTACATTCCTATCAAGTAACAGGAAGCTGGTGCTACTGGACACGTTTCCTATCTTGTAGGGTCACTGGTGACCAGCTCAAAACTTATCATACACTGAAGAAATTTTTAAACTTGCCTTCTGTTCACAGAAGCAAGACTTAAACAGGCCTGCGTTACTACTAGAATGCCAGTTCTTCCACAAACTCACCCAACAAACAGCCTCAAACAACAGATTTTTCTGAAGTCACACATATTATGGTTCTGGCCACTCTCTCTGCCCTTGTGAGCAACCAGAACACGTAGGCTGGTTCTTGTAACAACACAAATACACCAAAACTGTGTATGGCTAGGTTTCACGCAGCAGTAGACACACGCAAAACCTGCGCTGTTCTTCCAGCAGGCAGGAAGGGGAGAGATGAGAAAAGGCAGAGGCAGTGTTAACATCATGTAAAAGGAAAAAAAAACAAACACACCACCACACCTGCCTACAGACAAAAACAAATGCCAAAATAATGCAGGAAGTCTACAAAAATTGTACATATCAGCACCTATAAAGCTGCAGAGTACCGAGTCCCTTTCTGCTTTCCTGCAATTGATTTATCCGTATCCACACCAGGGACTTTGCAGAGGGTTCAAGAAAGGAAGCTGAGTGAAGTGGGATCGCAGAGGGAGCCCACGCACTTACCACACTGACAGGCACTCTCTGATCAGGGGCAACGGCTGAATCGGGTTTGTACTGCTGCAGTACACCTGTGCCCAGCTCCTCCAGAAGCTGCAAGACAACAAAAAGCAACTAGGTCTTTATCAGAGATGACTCAAGTACCACAGAACTAGAGCAACCTTTACCTAAGACTGTACCTACTTACCCAGGGAACAAAAATAAAAGATTCAGTATTGTTTTGGACTCTATCTGCCCCTAAGAAGAAATTAGATGAACAGCCTTTCTTACATAAAGTCCCAGCCAGAACAGCATAACAAGTTGCTGAGCAAAGATGAAATCTCTCTGAGCTTTCCTTTGGGTGACAGACTACAGTTCCTGCACCAGGCCAGTGTTACAGTCCTTGCATGTCCCAGGCTCCCTGCAGGCTCAGCAGAGCAACGAAATTCTGGTAAGAATTCAAGACTGGAAGCAGAAGGTGCATTTCTCAAAGTGTCAGGGTACTGCATTTCCCAAAGAGCTACAGCAGGCACCAGCTCTTTATGGTGTGCTACATCAAACACACAAAGATGCTCCGAATATTCATCGCTACTCATCTGTATTTGCAAAGCACACAAATAGCTAAAATTGACTGGGTAAAACAACGTTGGTGTTTCCTCATGCTCTTACTTTGGCTCCATGGAGCTGAATGGATGGATCCATTTCTTCCATGCATCTGCAAGCCACTTCTCCAAGTTCTAGGAAATAGCTCTGAGCCATGCAGAAATAACCCTTTACAAGAAGAGCCAACACCTAAACACAAACAAAAGAAATTCCATTCAGCATTTTTTTCCTTCTATTAAACCAAAACACCCCAAATAAATACTGAGAGGATAACAAGCTAAACAACACTGGGACAATATGCTAAACTCTGATGCAAGAGATACACCTCACAGCACAGCTTCTAGAATACTAGAGCTAATTAAAACCCTCCATATTCCATTACCTTGCTCAAAAAAAGGCCACAAAAGCACTATCAGGTAGCAACACAATGAATTATTTAATGTAAGTGAGGTCTCCTCTAGCTAAAACACTAAGCAGGAGAGTGCCTGTAAGAGCAACACATTCTGTATCTCCTTGTCACATTGCTGCTGCATTCTGTGAAGCTGGATTTAACAAATATTCATTGTTCTAGAAAAAGAGTGAGACTCCTTGGGATGTACGTTACAAAATCTTACTATTTTCTGTGGTGACACGAAAAAAAACAAAGCCAAGTCTCAACACTCACAGGTACCCCTTTAGTCTTACCAGCATCACTCCATAGCTCCTTGCAGACTGTTCTTTGACTGTGAGGTTATTCCCCGCTGTGCTCTAGCAAAACTTTAATTTAGCTTCTGTATGGAGGAGTTTGCATGGGCAAGACTCACAGCCTTCACCAGATGCCAGCATGCACACAACCAAATAATATTTTAAAATAACGAAGGTAACAAAAAATCACAGGCACATGAACTTGCTGCAGCAGGTTTACTATGGGATGGTTATGCTGTGGCCACAGGCATGGAATCAAAACGTTACTGCTCCTTCCATCACAGCAGCTCAGACATGCTGCACCAGCAAATGCTTTAGCCTACATCTCGCTGAAAGAGCTGGGGGCAAAGGCAACCCTCGACTGAGGCTTGGCTGACACCAGGCTGTTCATTTCAGAAGCTGGCTGTTCATCCCCACCTGCAAGGACTCCAGTCGAAGGGGACACGGCTCGTAAATGCTGGAAAATGCTGGAAAGTTGGCATCGCTGTCAGAACAGGAATCCTCTCTGGGCAGAATGATGATGGAAACACAGAGACGGAGAAGCCAGCATGGTTCTGAAGACGTACATCCTGATGGATTATCTGGAGGCTCCCCTTCCGAGGGGAGTGCTTTTCTCCACTGCTCAGAAGAACTTGAACGGTGAGGGGTTGTGCTACCACTGCTGTTTAGCCCTGAAGAACTGGGCTGTTGCAAAAGCAACTGCACCTCTGGTAAAGGTGCTTGGACAGATACTATAGCCCCTAATAATGTGAGGCTAGAAACGCGAACGTTCACATCTGCAAGAAACAGGGTGGGGGAAGAAAAAGCCAGTCCGTTAGCTTCTCACTGACAGGTCAGCATCCTTCTCCAGCAGTTTTCAGACAAGACAGATCATAACATATAATTCGACAGGAATCATGGAATGGTTTGGGTTGGAAGGGACCTCTAAGATCATCTAGTTCCAACCCCCTGCCATGGGCAGGGACACCCTCCACTACACCAGCTTGCCCAAAGCCTCATCCAACCTGGCCTTGAACACTGCCAGGGATGGGGCAGCCACAGCTTCTCTGGGCAACCTGTGCCAGTGCCTCACCACCCTCAAGAGTGAAAAATTTCTTCCTTAGATCTAAAGAAGGAATATATCTTCCTTATATCTATCCTGTCTTCCCTATATCTTTTCCTTGTATCTATCCTATATCTTCCTTATATCTAAGAATAATTTCTTCCTTACATCTATATCTAATACATATGTTTATGTATTCACGAAGCAGGAGGCGTGGAAATCCACAACTATTTTGTAGTAACTAATGCTGAATTAAGATATGACATGTGCAAAGAGGCTCCAGCCAAACAGAATGCAAACCTTTATGAGAAATGTATGGCTTTATCTGGTTCCAAACTCTTGTCAGCAACCCAGGTTTTAAACGGCTGTATGGTGCATTTGAAACCAAATTTGCGAGGCACTGAAACACACAAAGAACACACATTGAGTGGTGGTTACAATGTCAGCTCAGCCTGCAACAGATCTGGTTTTACATATGCAATTTATGTCATTTACATAGCTAATTATCTGAGGGCACCCAAAAACAAATGCCTCAATTATCTGCTGTTTGAAAACTGGTTGCAACCTTGGCTCCTAAGAATAAGTATTTAACTACTGTGACCTGGCATAAAGGCCAAGGAACTCCAGTAGCCCATGGAAAGCATTTGTTGGGGTTTTTTTCCAACTTGGATTCCAGTTTTCAAGCCAAAGTGAGTCTTCCAAATCATTTCATAGGCTCACTCAGCTCCAAAAAGACTACACGAAAGAAATGCAGGGACAAGAGAATTGGGCTCAAGAGAAAAGAAACCTTAGAACTCTGTAGGAACACTCAGTCAATGCAGCCTCGTGAGATGACAACGGTCTATTTCCTCCCCCAATTTAGGCCTCAACAGCTACACTAACTTCTGTGCAATCTTTCTTCAAGACTTCATCTAGAGAACAAGATCATCTCTTTGAAACACTCAGAGCACAGTTACCTTGACTATTTGTGTCAGTGTTTGAGAAGAGGATTCTGCCACCAGGGCTAGCAGCAGGCAGCGGTGCAGCTCCCGGATGCTAGAAGCAATAGTTACAGAGAAGGGAGTAAAAGCTCTCTTGTGATCATTAGCGTCTTCAGCTACAGAAAGAAACTGCTTAGAACCTTCCAGGATGGCTGAAAGAACTTGAAGAGCACAGGCACGGGTCTGAAATGATAAAACATTTCTGTTACCACTTTTAACACCTCCTTCAAGCTGATGGAGAATTTTAAAATTTATGAAAGCCTCTTTCTCCGGTAAGAGAAAATTCAACTCCAGCTATCTTTTCTCATAACTTTAAGCAGTATACAAACAATCTTTTGTTTCCTTAACCAATACACCCTCTTTTACTCCTTGCGGTACAGTGACCAAGCAACACAGCTACAGTAGCCAAAGTACTTACTGAAGGCCAGAGCACACAACTCTTAAGATACTACAGGAAAAATACAATGCTTTTTCTACTCAGAACTGCCTCACCTTTGGAGAAGGGTCCTTCAAAGCAATAGTCATCAAGGACACTGACTGGGGGCTGCCAATACCAGGTGCATCAGGAACAAACGCTGACCAGTAGCCATAAAGAATTCTTTTTTCTATTGATTTTACAGCAGACAGGAAACAGGCTAGAGCCCCTTGACGAACATTGGCTTGATAAGATCTGAAAAACAAACAAAAAGACTGATGAAACAGCAGCACTGAAAAGTAATGGACTTCACCTCTTTCACTCGTATCAGTGGCTAGCTGTGAGAAGAAATTTTTCAGAGGAAGAACAAATTTACTTTCAATCCAATATGAATTACTGCCTGCCAATTTTCTTGTATCACCACATAAATCAAAAGGAACGGCGGTTTTCTCAACAGTTTTGATTAAGAACAGCGTGCTAGGATCCTGTGGAAGAGTCTGCACAAAGTAAAACTTGTGCCAGACCTGCAGGAACAGAAGGTCTGCTTTAACGCGATACCTGAGCTGGAACTGTTACGAACAGGACACTCTGCTACCGTGCCTTCTGTTTACACCAACAACAATCACCTCGTTTTGCTCTGCATTCCACCTTCAGCATCAGAATATTCCGACTCACTGCTGCTGATTCTTTTCCAACTGCTACAATGTGAAGACAAGGGATCCTTTCCAGCAGGCACGCACGCCACACCCGATGCACGAGTCCGGGGATCCGAGCAAGGACTGTTCTGCACATCCCCCAAGTGTAACTTCCGCAGGTCTGCTCCAAGAACTGATTCATTTCCCCCATCACCCAGATCTTTTCCTTCCTCCCCACACTCTCCCTTCTTTTGTTTCCCTTTGGACTTTTTTCTTCGGTTCTGTTTCAAGACAAAAAATAGAGGTGTTTTTTTTAATCTTTTGAAATAACATCTCGAAAGATGCGCAAACATTTTATAGCTGTAAAGCTAAGGGAAATAAGTCTCATCTGAAAACAAAACTAATTGCTAATCCAGAATAAAAGCCCCCTGTATAGTACATTAAATTATACAAGTTTCTACCTGAGTTTTCGGATGAGATTTAGTTTAACCAAGAGTCATCACAGCTATCTAGCATCTTCTGATGCAGCAATTCTGCACGTAAGTGCAATTACACGTATCTGCAATACTGTACATACAGAAACAACACTGTACATACAGATACTTCTTTAGTACCTGAGAGTTTGCAAACTTTGCTTATTAGTAGCAACAGTAACATCAGTTTAGTAATCCCTTAGTGTAAGTAAGCAGTTTATATCTGAATAGCCTCAAAAATTAAGCTTTGGCCGCTTCGTCAGTAAAGCAAGACATTTCCAACAAAACTTTTAGTTGAAAATCATATTTCACACAAAAGTGACGAAAGAAGAGGAACAGTAAATACTTCTGTAGTTCTTTTAGACTTACAGAAGATATTTAACATCTAAAAACAAACAAGTCACCATGACTACACAACTTTATTTTCTCTAACGTCTTTCAGATAATCGGTAATCCAAAATGTTTGCAGGGTTAAAAAATAACCTGTAGAAGGATTAAGCAGAACACATGGGGAGGAAACCCGTCTCTAGATGAACTTGAATTCCCTGAGGAAGAGTCAAACACTTGTGCAAGCATTAAGAGAGAAAACGTAACTTATAAAATAAAAAGCTCTGGCTGGTCTGCAAGCACCGATCCCACGTCTGCAGGCCAAGAATTCTTGGCTACAGAAGAATAACTGATGCACACAGCTTAACTCAGGAAAACCAGTCTCTGCAGAGCTGTTTGTTTCTGTCATCCCAGTTTACAAAGCAATTTTACCCAGTGCAGAGATTTACAATCAACACCTTTCAAGCAAAGAAGGCACAATGCCATCACACCCCAGAACACAGAGAGCCACTAACACCACGTCAGCAACACGCAGCCACAACAAACACGCACACCATGAGCACGCAGCAGAACCAGTATGATTTCGGCTCACCCCTGCCTGCTTACAAGCAGCTGGTTCCGATGGTTCCTGTTTGACGGGCGACCTTTTATCGTACTGAGGTAACGGAGCTGGGTACAAGGCTGCTGGCATCTCGATGCTCAGTCCTGGCAGCCCATGGAACATACATTTCTAGAACAGTAACAAAACCATTAGCACACTTTCCCTTTTTGATGCACAAACATTTACTGCATATTTACTCAGACGTTCATCGATTTTTGGTTGGGCTCGTGGTGCTTCCCGCAGGTCCTGCCTCTCCCCAGGCTACGTAACATCTGAAATTCAGCTACCTCTAGAAGCAGCTGAAGTAGGTCCAAAAAAAAAGAGCCTCCCGTTTTTCTCTCCCATTCATTTGTGGGAAGTGCAGTTAAGATGCTGTGAGAGAAACTCTTTTTCTTTATCCCTCACACTACATTTCTCCCCACGCTCAGGCTTCTCTGCTCCCTCTTTCTTGTATTCTCCCACTGTTTCCCACTTAAAAAGCATCGGGAACATTCACTTTCCAGTGCGCGCCTCTTTCTCAAGGTGGATTTAAGTATTTACCTTCAATACTGCAAGAAGAGATCCAATTTGGTCAGTCTGCATTAGTTTCATCTTCCCACCATTTAGAAGTGACTGGATACCTTTCAGTGCATTTTGCAGTAACTGAAAACCAAAATACAGAATTACTTAATTTTCCTTCCCAAAACACTGAAGGTTTATCTCTTTCAAGTGACCTTTCAGGCAATTATGGTTTTGCTCAACGTAATTACTGAGACAGTTACTTATGTTTATTTAAAAAAAAAAAAAATAGACTATTCAAGCAAAATCTCAGTTGACAATATTCCAAATTCCAATATTCCAGCAGCACTATCTCCTAATTAGAGTATTCTAGACAATTAGACTCACACTTACCATGCAAAAAGTGATGTCATCTACGTCAGAGGTTTTAGAAGACTGCAGAACACTTAGAAAAGTTTGAAAACAGACACTTCTGTAGGACTCATCCAAGTATGGCTGTCCAGGCACACTAGAATTAAAGCAGGAGGTGACAAATGGTCAGTTCACAGCCTGTCCCACAGCTTTATAAAGTTACACAAACTCGGATCCAAGCCCTCCACTAGACCCAGGAGCACAGCCCCAGACAGATGGATGGCTCTTTGGCAGGGATCAGCTCTGCCACTACAAAGAACAAAAGGAAGCCTTCTGCAGAGAGCTGGTACAACCTCAGGGTGCTTTACTCTCTCAATTACAATGACTCTAAGCAGAGCTTAACAAGCTGTCATGCTTATAAATGCTTTTTAGGCAAAATTTGGCATTGAAAATGACCTAGAATGACTTTTGCCATTTCCCTAGTTTCCAGGAAGTCTGGGTAACCTTAATGTGCTGAAACTTTTTAAAATCCACTTGATTTACTGCAGGAAGAGAGAGGTCAACTGCATCACTTCATCTTTGCTAACTTGAGCACCATTTAGTAAGAGCTGTCCACTGTTGCAGTGGATTAAAGAGTCATTAAACAAATTCTTTTGTAATGGATTCCTAAGCATCTGGTTCCAACACATTTAATTACTCCAAGCCATCAACCATGTTTGATAATACTCACAGGACAACTCTAATAATGCAAGTGATTTTCCTGAAGTTAGAATCAGAGAACAGTTGAGGTTGGAAGGGACCTCTGGAGATCATCTAGTCCAACTCCTTTGCTTGAAGTAGGGTCAACCAGAGCAGGTTGCCCAGGGCTGTGTTCTGAAATCTCCAAGGATGGGGACTCCATGGCCTCCCTGGGCAACTGATTCCAGCGTTCAATAATCCTTACTACTTTTTGGTTTTTTCTCCTTTTATGTTTAATCAGAATTTCCTGTATTTCAGTTTGTGCTCTTGTCCTTTCACTGGGCACCACTGAGAACAGTCTGCTCTGCTTTTTCATTACTTTCCATCATGTATTAATACACATTGGTAAGATCCTCGCTGACCCTTCTCTTCTCTGGGCTAAACAATCCCAACTCTCCAGAGAGAAAAATCAATCCCAAACTGCCAGATGTTGCATTTATTTACATTAAGTAGTTCTTCAGACTTCATCTTTAAGTGCTGAAATTCCAAGCTTTGTTTTTTTGTTGTTTGGTTTGTTTTTTTTACCCCCCTTAAATAAGCCAGCTGTTCAGGGGAACTATTAACCAAAAAAACTCATTGTAGCACGTCGAAATACTTCTTGCTTTTATTAATTGCTTGCTTGCCCATAGAGTCTATTAGTCAAAATTCTTCTCATAAAGAAGCTAATGAAGATTTGATATTGCTGTGGCATCAGCATAGTTGTGCGTGGAACGGAAAAATGGATGAATTGCAAAAGAATAACTGACAATCACTATAAAAATTTGTAACTGACCATTTCTTATGAAAAATTAACCCAAAGAATCACTGCAGGGACCAGATAGCACAACACTTTTCCTTTTCTTCCCTAAACTAATCTCCGTAGCAATGGTTTTATCCACAGATGATCCAGTATCTTGGAGCACTAAAGTTTTAGATTTCATCCTCATGCATACACAGCTTACTGACCCTGCATTTGCCGTTCCTAGCACAAACAGCTGTCCGTGCTGTCGGATGTACATCTTCTAAAGCACCCACTCCACCACCCAAAAAGGTCTGTACGCACCTGAGACACAGGTTTGCCATGCCGCGTACCGCTGCCCTCCTGAGCTCCACGTCTGGCTGAGCAGGATCACTGAACTGCACCAACAGCCCAGTCTTGCCCAGCAAATCCGGGAGGTACTAAAACAAACCACCAAAAGTCATTAGGGGCCAGAGTTCTTCCTTCAGCCTCCTGGTTCTTCTGTTTCGTAGCTAAACGCATCTATGCTACAAAAAAAGATTTGTCAGCTGCAATTTCAGCTTCCATAGAGAGACTATGTTTATTCAAAATGACACGAAAATATTAATTTCCAAAGCTCTCTTATTTTGCATTTAAAAAGTATCGAGCATGAGCACAGTTCAGCCCGACTCCCAGTTTATGCCTTCTTCCCAGACATAAAGCTAAGAGTAACAACTGCTGTACCAAACTGCTGCGGTTATACAGGCTACAAACCCACACAAGCTGGCAGCTCCAAAACTGCTGGCATCACCACTCCGTGCTCCAGCCCAAGAGCAGAAACTGCTCTGCAAGCTGCCAAGAGCTGGCGACAGCAGGCCTGTCAGGCACACTGCACACCAAGAAGTTTCATACAACCCTCAGGATCGATACCTGACAGTCTCCGCTTTGAAACAGCGTTCAGCTCACCGCACACTAAAGACCTGCTCTGGTTACAGCATAAATTTCAGGATCCTCAATGGAGCCTGCTGAGTAACATGCCATTTGAAGCTCCCTGCATTCTTCCTGCCCGATGCACAGGCACACCAGTGTGGCTAGTCTGCAGACTAAGCCTGGTGCCCTTCAACAGTGTGCCTTTGGCTAAAGCCAGGTAACAGGTGGTCCCTAGAGCTGCAGCCCGCAGGTATGGAGGTACCTGGCAGGGAGGAACCTTGTTATCTATTGAGTATTAGTACACACACCTATCACAGCTGAAATTCAACTTTTCCACAAATATCAGTTGCTATTTAAATGGTATTATTCCTAACATAAAAGGTGGGGCGATTTGAGAAATGATGCTTTTCCCCCTCCTACCCAAAAGAAAGTAGAAACAGCAAAAGGGTGCAAAGATTTTTGTGGTTACTTTCTCTTAGCACGTAAACTCACCTTCTGACACTTAGGTCCGTTGTTGTAAACAAGAGCTGCCAAGGCTTGCAGAATTTCAACATGTGTCCAAGAGCTGCACTGCTTAAGAGCAGAGATGCAGTAGGAGAGAAGAAAATTCAGGTTCTGCTCATCAACCATCACCTGGCATAACAGAAAAGGACCGTGGTCAAGAAAACCTTGTCATGTACTGCCAGAGTCGATACAGGCAGATATTTTGGTTTCAGACTCCAGTGACCTGGCTGTTAAAACGACACACCATCACGGAACCAGCCAAGGCTTAAGAACTGAATAAATCAACACGAGTGTCCTGTAGCCAAGAGTGTTCCCAACAGCGCACCGCTGCTGGCTGAGGGCTGGCTTTACACGAGGAACCTCTCAGCCATTTTAGAGCCACAGATCAGAACCTCAGCTGAGAATAAATAAGCAACACAGTGACAATCTGAGAAACTGGGCATGAAGGTCAGCTCCAGAGCCCCATAAAGAGACAGAAGGGCTCCCTGGCTCAGTGGGGGACCAAGGAGCCAGCCAGCCCGCCCACAGGGATAGATGGGACAAAGCTAAACTTTCCATACCTGAAATCTGTTAAGCAAGTGATGGATAAGCTGACAAACTTTGATGACAAGATGTTCCTGATCAAGGTGAACCAGCTGACAGGCTTGGACAAGCAGAGCACAAACATCCTGGAAAAGAAAGCCTCAGTCTAGTATTTAGAGACTACAAAGCGAGGGTGGAAACCCCATCGTCAGCTAAGACTTTGATCACACAACCAGATCTGCGTGGGGATACCACTAACACCAGTACAAACACAACTCCAGCTGGTGAGCTTCCCTTCGTTTGCCCACAGACCCTCATCCCAACGCAGGGATATGCTCACACGGATTCAAACTGCAGGAGCGCTGCTCAGACGATACCAGTGCAATACCAGTACAAGTGCTGCTTCAACAGTGGAGCAAAAGCGGAGTCAATAACAATGGCAAAAGAAAAATCCAAAGTTAGATCAAGGAACAGACGGAGGGAAAAAAGGAGCCTTGTCAAAAAAAAAAAACAATTAATATCAAAACGCAAAGAAAGTCGCTCTGGAACCAAACGATGGAAGACGGGCCAGTGAGCGCTGTTTGCCGCGCACTATCGCTGCACGCGACGTATCGCGGAACTGCCGCGGGCAGCGCCCCGGGGTGCGCACTCGCG